TTGCAGAGGGAGATTTCTGGAAAGGGAGTAAGGTAACAGGACCTCGCTCGGTCTCCAGTAGAATGCTAGCTTCATAGAGAAAGTCCATTTCAAGGATTTGGAGGAATGGAAGATAGAAGGATCTAGGTTCGGGGGCATTATTTGCACCTGCAGAACTGTTTCTGCTACTGCCTCTTCATAGCCCAGGTTTCTGTTCTGATTTTGTGTTTGAATGACCATGTTTGCAGCTGGATGCAGACAAGGGGATGATAGTTTCATACTTCTCAGCTCCTGCCTCAGAAGAATAGAGAACAGAAAAGCAGGAGACCAAGCAGCTTGAGAATGAGCCCAATAACTGAAGCTCTGCACAGAGGGGAGCATGTGAGGCTCCTGGGCAGTGCCCATGTTAGCCGAATCTGGCCTGACAGCCCAGGACAGGGAGTCGTGATCCTGCAGCCCTCCCCAAATCTCTCCTGTCCTGTCACATTTGGCTTCTTGCATTCAGAGTCACTCAGTTGTCAGAATAATTTCTTCTCTTGCCTTCGCTCCATCTATAATTCATTAAAAAACCCGGAGGGGTGAAGCAGTCAGTTTTTCCCACTCCTTCCCCTCTGGAAGACGTGGGCTGAGCGTGGTTTGCAGCAGGGCATGAATGAAGCAGCCATAAAACCCAGAAGCCAAGAGGAGGGTGGTGGGAGAGGGACATGCTGCCATCTCCTGCGAGGCCACCAGGGCATGGTGTCTGCCTCTCGCAAAGCACATCCCATATGTGTTGTGCCACAAGCTTGGGCAAATATTTGCTCAGAAAACCCAGGTCAGATGCTGGACCTGAAGCACACTGAATTGGTCAGTTCCTGAGCTTCAGAAGTCCAGGTTTCAGTCCAAGTTTGTGCAGCAGCTTCCCCACTAGTTAAAATTTTCACTCCATGTTCTCCCTAAAATTGCAGCCTACATCTTGGGCTCAAAATTGCTTCATCCCAGATACAGCTTTTTCTTCTGTTTGGCCACGAACTTGTACTTGCATGCTGTACACTCCCCACATCACTGCATCTGGCTGCGCAGCCTCAGCTCTGCTTTATCCTTCCAACAACTACATGGAAAAATAACACACCCTTCACCGTGGAAGTGCAGGTCATGCAGTGAAATACCTGTCTTTCTGAAACTGCAGACCTAATTGGGCATTTAAGTGCAATTTTGAGGAAATGGCTACAGGTGTTGTTCGTCATATAGGTTCTAGTAATGGCAAATATTGATGTCTAAAAAGCAAGAGAAAGTTCCCACAAGTAGGAGAAATTTTATTCAATATACTGTAAGAAGTATAAAGTGACAGTGGCTTTGAAATGTGAGCGCAAGCTGTTGTTTGCATTCTGTCTTCAGTGAAATAACCAAGGTTCTTATCCAGGTATTTCAGGCTTGCCTGTACTACTCTCTTTTCAGACTTTGGCATCACCAGCAATCTGTGTGAGATTTCTGTGGAAAGGGCACAATGCAAGAAATCTTCATCTTCAAATATCATCACATACAAAAGCGATAATAATTAAAAAAATACAGTTTAGTTGACTGTTATTCTTTCCTAGCCATATATCTCTGTAAACTGTTCACTTCTGGCAGTCTGCGAGGGTGGAGGTAGGTCTTTTTCAAGCCTAGCAGAAGAATGGCCCCATGTAAACTTCATGGCTTGCGTCCATCTCTGAAGCACCCTCACCAGAGCCACAAATCCCTGTCCCCAAATGGAGAGATTCACCAGAGGGCAGCACAATATCACTTCATATTGTAAAAGTAGAAGTTAACTATTTCAGCTGTGTGAAAGCTTTTTGAAATTAGCTGTTTGTTGTTCCATAATCATAATTGCAAATAAGTCTCTTTTTAAAGCTGGCCTCTGAATCAGCTCCACAATCCCTTGTATTACACATACATTAACTTTTAGGGTCTAGGAATTTACCACATGGAAGCAAGGGGAGTCCAGACAGTCATGTTTTCAATGTAGCTCTCTACCAGGTTTCTCTCCAGGGGTGGTCAGGACACCTGAAGGGTACTTGTCCAGCTTTAAGTATTTCAGAAGCTCTCATGTGTTAAAGGCACCAACCTGAGTGAATATTTGAGCCTCATTGTTCGGATAGCATTAAACAGTAGGAGTAAGCCCTCTGATGGCACTTTATGAGGAAGGTGCACAGAGGATGAATGCAGGGATGCTTCTTTTGTATTATATTTTCTTCTGGTTGTCCTCTATGCTGGGCAGCTTCTAGGTCCTCTACCACTTATGCCAGATTCTCACCACTCAAGGAGCTAAGAGGTGTCACTGGTTGCATCTTGCCTGCTCAGCTTCCCTAACAAAGTGCTTCATCTGTCATTAATCTGTTCCCGTTTATTACTCTATTCTGCTTGCACTGGTAACTGGTGTCTCCAGCAGTTTTCTCCCCTGGTTCAAGTGCCACTGTACTTTTCTGACCTTTTCTGACCTCTTTCTCTCAACTTACAGCTAAAGCTTTGGTGTCTGAATTCCTGCTTTTTTTTGCTGTACATTAACTACATCTTCTGTCCTTGGTTGTTCTCTTTGCTCCAGTTAGCTTCTGCCTAATGAGATGTCTCGTGTCTAGCTTCAATCTTGCACTTCACTCCTGACATTCACATGTAGGTCTCCCTTGAATCTCTCTCTCTGATCTCACTCCTCTTTATGCTCGATCTCAACTCCATCTGCTCCTGCTCATCCCCACATTTCCTCACTCTATACTGAAGTCCTTAAAGATACAGCTTTTCCATGGAGCTGCTCCCCATGCATCCTTAGCTTTCCTTGGATCAGCTATTATGTTTATATAAAGGCCAGCAGCCTTAAGTATATATAATAAAAGAATAACTTTTCCTACCATATTAGCTTATGATACATTATTTAGTCACATGATAGTAGTGTAATATTGTTTTTCAGGGTAGGTGTAAATTCGTGAACTTAGAAATGATTTTAAATGTATCTTTTAAGACAATTTTGTGTCTGATTTAAAAAAAAGAATTTGTGATTTTGGTTTAAGAAAAAAGAAAAATATTTTGAAATCTCTGCTCTCTTTCATATATTTTTCTCTGACCAATATTTGAAGGAAAAAAAAAAAATACAAAAGTTTTATTTTTTTTTTCTTTTTAATTTGCATTATCTTTTTATTTCTTGGGAAGACAAAGGGAAAAAAGACAACAGAAATGTTCACAGAAGATTTGATTTGGTTTTCATTTTTTCACAGTTCATTTTCATTTCATCCTTTTTTGTCAAGGAAGGAAGAAAAAAAGTATTTTTTAAAGGCAAAAGGATGTGAAAAAGAAGTCAAAATATCTTTTAAGAATAACTTTTAAAAGCTTTAGCAAGGCAGAAAATTTCTTTGAAAACTTATAAAAATTAAAAGTTGTAAAGAAAAATACTTTCTATTCAAAACACTCAACAAAGGTTTGGAGCTAGTTAAGGCAGCCAGTGCAGTGGGCTTTGTAGAGTTTTCTAAATGAGAACAGTCCATCGCCTCTGCAGAAATCTACCCCATTGCACAGTACCCTTGCACCTCATCAGAGACGTCTCTGTGGGCATTACACCAAGTTTTCTCTGACTAAATCTGATTCAGCTTCTCTTAAGGTCTCTCCATGTCACAGTTAGTGGTGTGCCTGTGACTTGGCATAGAAATAACCTAAATTTTGCTTTATAATAGGGATGATGAAGGGCTGTATCAGATTCACATCTGCAATATATATATATATTTTAGAGTTGTCTGCCATTGCTTTTAAATGTGTGATTTTTCGAACTCTACCAAGCTAATGAGAGAGGTGCATTGCTTGGCAGTGGCCATCCCCAAAGAGTGGTGGCTCTTTAATGTTGGTGCTCAAAGCTACCAGTAAGACACATCTGTGCTAGAAACCAAAGAGCTCGTTTTAGGTAGAAACACAAATGTTATTTATAAGAGCTACCCAGTTGCATAGCTTAAGTTTCTTCTGCTGGCTCACCAGATTTCCTTTGATGTGAATGGCCTTTTTCTGAAAATTAATCTTTTTTTCTTACAAGATTTTAATAACAAAATGGTGACATGGTGAAAGTCTGTAAATGGACTTTGCATAACCAGTTCCTAAATTATGGATGCATTTATATCTTCAGCGGTGCAGAATGAAAGACACCTTTCGAATTTTGCCATGTATTACAATATATTACATTAAGAATGTGTATAAAATTTTAGAATATGTTGTATACCAAAACTTGTTGGAACTAGACAGTCTTTAAGGTCCCTTACAACCCAAAGCATTCTGCCATTCTGTAAATACCGTTTACCCAGGATGTCTCTCCATCCACTGATGTGCTGAAGCAAAAGTTGCATTTGTTCAGGCTCTTGAAAGCCACTCTGTCTACTTTTCTTGTTAGTCATTTTCTCAGACTCAAGGGGACAGAAGCAAAAAAGAAAGTTCATTATTATTACTCTCCAGACATACTACGAAAAAAATAAACATTTCACATAGAAAGAAGACTAGAGCTGATCCACTGCAAGATAGGTTTTTGTGGTACTCCTTTTAAAGGTTTACCTAGCATATTTGTCGCTATATGTCAAGCACCGAATCACGTGGAGGCAGGAGACATTAGAAGGGAAGGAGGTGAATGCCTGCTTCAGTTCTCTTTTTGACCTGTAACTTTGCAGAAGTTGTAGTTGGTTTGAAAGCTCACTCTTCAATGAAATCAACAAATATCACTGCAAAATAGACTGCTTTAGCCCTCAAAGACGATTTATAGTCTTTCTTCTCAAAATAAGAGTACAGAGATACTGTACTACCTTTTATTCATGTTGAGATTGTAGATAAGTAACAGCTTGTGTTAATATTTGACAAGGTTTGTTCTATGTTGCTGTCAGAAACGTAGCTGAAAATCTCTTTGGCTGGCTGGCTTGTACGTGAAACTGTCTTTTTGTAAGATCTGGATTAGAAAATCTCTCCTGCCAGACTTGTAGCTGTCAGATTCATTATCTTCAAAAATTTATATTAACCTCTTAATGGTGTTTTTCTTTCTGCAGAAACGGAAGCTGCATGCAGCACAGATGCCAGCCTTCTCCAAGGAATAACCTCTTCATCCCCAAGTGACTCCAGGTCCTGCTAGTACCATGGGGCCAGAAGGTGGTTTCTTAGGCAGTGGTCAGGTCCACATCATCTTGTGGGGAAGTTTGGCAGCCATGACAACACTCTTGTTCCTCACCTTCCTCATCTTCCTCTGCTCCAGCTGCAACAGGTGAGGTCAAGAACTTAGCAGACAGAAATGGTTCTTGAGTCAAGTAGTGTAGGGATTGAAATAGCTTCACTAATAACTAGTTAGAAAAACAGTGAGGACTTGGGTACAGAAATAAAAACATACAGTACAACATGCGTATTTGGAGCAAACCTGAGTTTGGACAGTTCTGTTCATTCTAAAATCTAAATTTATTTTTTTCTTTTGCTGTGAAGGAAAAATACTGTTGTGTTTGCTAGGTGCTTTCTCCTACACTGAAGCCTGGAGCACAGACAGACACTGACTGTTAGCAGAGCACACTGCTAACCCAAAACAGTTATACTAATTAATGTCTTGCGTTCATACCTTATCCTTATTTTCTTCTCCAAAAGAGGGTTCAGTTTTACCAATACAGACATTTCTACTGACTTTGTTGAGTCACATTTCAAGGCCTCTTCATGACACTCAAGCAGACCCCTGCTGATTGCACAGGGAGCTGGGCAACCTGTGCTTAATCCACAGCGCCCTTCCACCAGGTCAGACCCTTCATAATGAGGAGCATGACTGCTGGGGTCCATATTGCTGTATTTTGCCAGGATAGTTCTATCAGCCAAGTGTGAGTGTTGTGGGGAAACTTACCTGTAACTCAGTTCAGCAGCACCCTCTGAAGAAGCATGCTCTTTCAGCCATTCAACATTGAGAGCATTGAGGAAGCTGTGCAGCTGTAACATACACTGTATTGGCATTAGATATGTCTACAGTGGAAGGTTTTCAGCAGGATTTCTCTATTGCCAATGTTGTAAAGAACAGTCATGGGAAAGACTAGACCCCAGAAGCTGGTTGAAACCCTAAAAAGGATAGGTTGGAACTTGTAATTTCATGTGATCCAGAAGAAATTCTTCCGTAAGCTGTAAGATAACATTTCAGTATCTTAGAATGATTTGGGTTAGAAAGGACCTTAAAGTTCCAATCCCCCTGCCATGGGCAGGACACCTTCCATTAGACCGGGTTGATCAAGGCCCCATCCAGCCTGGCCTTGAACACTTCCTATTCATTCCTATTTATCACAGTTCCTGTGATACCTGTGTAAAAATAGTAGAAATACGTTTTTTTAAATTTATTTAAAAGTAGAAAATCTAATTTAAAAATCCTTAAGCCCACAAACATTGCATTTAGGTACCATGTTTTGCCTTGTAACACTCTAGTCTTTGACACTAGAAACATCTCTAGATAGATGTTTTTAAAACAGAGTCAAACCACTGAATATGTCTTTGCAGTTACAGAAATAGATTAAGCTCTTGTGTTGCTAGTCTGGACGCAGTATCTCTTATCTCAGATCATTCTGTAGGGCAGATTGTTTATGCATAAATGCAGTTATGTAGAATTTCAACAAATGGTTATGGATATGGAAAACTGAACAAAATCTGCTCTTTCTGTAATGTCAGAGTCAGAAAAAAAACTTCCAGAGAGGAAATAAAGTATTTTTTAACTCTAACGCTGCTCTGCATTGATCCTTACTTGCTCTGATTTCTCATTTCCCAATTAGGTAGAATTTTAACAGTTGCTAATATGGAAACTACAGTGCACTGCAGACTTCAGAAGCAGCACAGATTTCATATTGTCAATATTTCCTCACCTCTCTACTTGGCTTTTCATCTAGGGAAAGGACTGTAATCGTTTTAAGCTCATAGGTTATTACAGTATTTCAGAATAAGAGCTGTATTTCCAAAATGGTGAAAACTGAAAACTTCATCCATACTTTTGAGTTCTGTGAAGTACCTGGTGAAGCAGGACTAGTTTTGAAATGAAGACTTCTGCTGCTATGAAATGTCTTCCTGAACTGCTTATGCTTATTATTAACTTATTAGCATCCTGAGTGGGAATAAGATAGATTTTGTGGGCCTTTCCTAATTCTTCATACGATAAATACCTTTTGCTGAACCAGTCTAAGGAATTTCCCAAGTAGTCTGTCACCAAAACACGTATCTCATTTACCTCTGAGCATTTTGGATATGATTAAATTGAGGATAGTATTATTTTTATTATCATCAGTTACTCCTCATTGTGACCTTCTACTGAATGAGAAAAAAGATGATGATATACGTACCTCTTCAGATACCACCCTGCCTCTCTTAACTGGGACCTCACACAGAGGTCATACCAGTCCCTGTAATAATTTTCAGTTACTCTGTTTTCAGTATTATTGTGAATCACAATTCTATTCCCTGTAGAAGTATAAGGTCTGTTAATGATTGACATTTGTATATTAGCATAATCTGTAGTAACAGTTTGTATGCCTTTTTCATTAAGGGAAAAGAAGGCCAAATATCAGAATGGAGATCATGAAAATCTGATGAATGTGGTAAGTATTTATTTCTGGCAGCTTGTGTCTGTCTTGTAATTGGTTTGTACCAAGCTCCCTGCAAAATACTGCAGATTGGAAAATAGCTCAGGAATTTGGAGAGGGTTGAGCAAGGGAAACTTTAAAAGTTGCAGAACAGGAAGAGGAGAGGACCTGAGTAGACCCTGATAATCTGCACTTTCTCAATGATTTTTCTGCCACTGTTGTACTCCAGATCTCCCACCTGCCTTTCACTCCATTTGCAGCACAGGCACAGTGTACCCTTCCCACGGATTAAAGCCATGGTAGTGTCTGTTATGACAAAGGTTGAAAGGTTGATCACTCTGGACATGCTTGCATTTATTTGGTTTTACATCTGTAAACACAAGTACCTAAATCTTTGAGTACAGTCGGCGTAGTTTGACTCTTCCGGCCAATAATACCTGTGAATCACAGCTCCCAAGATCAGAACAAAATTTGTCACCTATGTATTTATGCAGACATGTATTCAGATCCAGCAGTGGTTAGATCTCACTATTTGTGTTCCAGCCTTCTGACAAGGAGGTGTTCAGCCACTCGATCACAAGTTCAGCTACTGAACCCCCTCCGAGCACCGACCAGAACGGGGCACTCAGCAATGGTGAGGGTGAGTAGCACAGACCCTGCGGGTGGGATGAATGAGCATCACCATCTCCTTGCTCACAGATCCTACAATGGTGAACCCTTGAGTCTTCTGGATTAGCTTTCCAAGCACAAGGTCATGCCATTTGTCTGAATACCCTTTGTTTCCCTTTGCTCATCTCTGGAGGTCTGACACCAAATCAGCTTCTGTATCCCAGGGTAGAGGCTGGGCATGCAGCTCTCTGGAGGGCACTCAGGGCACACAGAACATAATTCACATGAGCATGTTTGCCTTGCTGGGAAGTAGCCCATCCCAAGGAGATGTTGGAATTTTAGGCTGTATCTCCAGTTCCCTGCTGGGCATGCTCTGGCATAGCACTACATCCCAGCTCCCAGTCCTCTGCACCAGTTAACACTGTGGAAGGGCTAAGGACCTACTCTGGGCCACCGAAGCTACACCTGCAGATTGACGAGGCCATCAGGCAAAGACTGGTGTTCCCTAATGTTGGCCAGCAGTGGAACTGGGATGTGACCAGAGGATAGAGTCACACCTTAGAGCTTCAAAAGCACTCCAGGAGACTGTGGAAATCTTTCAGGTCCTTCTCCCCACAAAGGACTGGGAAGCCTGCCATATGAGGAAAGGCTGAGAGAGCTGGGGTTGTTCAGCCTTGAGAAAGGATGGCTCAGGGGATACATTATCAGCATGTTCCAGTATTTAAAGCTGGGCTACAAAGAAGAAGGAGACTCACTTTTTACAAGGAGTCAGATGGAAAAGTTGAGGGGTAATGGGCATGATTTGCTCTTGGGGAGATTCCGACTGGACGCGGGGGAAATTTTTTTCACAATGAGAAAAATCAGCTGTTGGAATAATTTCCTCAGGGAAGTAGTGGATTCCCCAACACTGGACACCTTTAAGATTTAGATGGACAGGGTGCTAGTCTAGGTCATCTCATCTAGGTCATGCTTTGCCTAAAAAGGTTGGACCAGATGATCCTTGAGGTCCCTTCCAACCTGGTAATTGCTTGTATTTTTCTATTTTTTTTTAAACAGTCAACATAAATAGGCTTTTTTTTTTTCCCTAGTCTTTGTTTTGCTGAGTGCCCAAAATGATTCACACTGAAGTATCACTGGAAAATATTTTTCTCAGATGCACCTAGAAATAAACTGGCTCTCAGCCCAGAGCCACTGGGAACCAACTGTTGTCTCCACACTAGGCACTAACACTGGGACCATGCTCACCTCCTCATCTGCTTGTGCGGCCAGAGGTATTCAGTCCTTCCGCCTCAGAGATGAGCATGCAAAGGAAGTTTTAAACTTTGGTTTGCAGCTAATTGCTGCTCCCATCCATTGGCTTGTTGTGTATTTAGGTATGCCGCTTACCAAGGGACTTGATGTGCAGAGCAAAGCCCAGCAGAAGGGAAGCAGTTGTCTTTGCCATAAGTCACCACACATGCAGCTGCCAAAGCTGCTACAGAAAGGTGTGCTGTCAACCAGCAGACAGTTTTCAGACGCTCTGATACTACTCAGCTTACACTCTGCATAACGACACTTTTGAATAATGGGAACCAATGTGCTTTAACTTCTTATTTATACTTTATGTGGTTTTTTGTTAATAGTTCTTTTTATTTTGCTGTTTCTAGCCTTTTGAACAGAGGCAAGGCCATAGAAGTAGCACCATTAAATGTTTTTTCTTTTACCCAACCTGCCAGCATTGTGTTTATCCATGCCAACCCTTTATCTACACCAACTCCTTCTCTGCTACTACCCATAATCACAAGAGCACAGAAACACAAGCTCATAGCTTCTGATTATCCCCCTCAGGCTGAATGGGGTGGGTGCTCTCTGGGGCCTGTGATGGTGCTCTGCACAGCACAGAAATCCCTGGGAGCAAGGGCCAGGAAGGGAGAACATCTTTTAGCTTCTCCAAGGTGGTTCCTGATGTCCTTCAGAAAGTCTGGAGGCACCCTGGGGACTGAGTAGGACACCTTGCCTGTCTCCTGTTCTTCTGCAGGTGGTATGTAGGAGCCAAGTGAATGGAGAAGGTAGTTCTCCTTTTCTCCTCCTCCCATCTCCCATTCAGACAGTGACTGCCATCTCATACCTCCCAGTTCCAACCTGAGTTTTGCTGTCAGGATGCAGCTCCCTGTGAGTGCTGACTGCTTGAGTCTGCATGTCCTGAGCACAAGAGAAAGCAAACCATGAAATCAAGCGTATTGATTGCTTCAGCAATACTTTATGTCTTCATGTCAAACTTGCTGAAGGAAGAATGGGTTGATTTTGCTTAGACAGTAGGAGCCATAGGAACTGCACTAATAAAAGTAAAGCTATTCAGAAGTGATTTTTCAAAGAACTGTGTGACTTAATAGTTACATGCTATATACTACCTGAAACATGCTTGTACATGCCCATGCATACGTCCTGAATGCAGGGAAATGTCATACGTGTGCACTGTAAGATGAGAAATCCCATAGATCTCAGTCCCTCTAGTGACAGCAACACGTGGCCCAGTCTGGGACATAAAATAACATGTTCTGCCTAACACTGCTTTCTGAAGCCTAGTCTTCCCTTTTGTGTATATGGCTGGCTCGTTAGTAGGTTGTCAACCTACATTATGTGCTGTGAGACTAACAGAAGTATGGCATAGCCTTCCCACTGGAGGAGCTTCTGGTGTAGCGTGCAGGGAGCTGACTGTGGCAGGGCTGAGCACAGACAAGAATTTGTCCAGCATGTTAAACAAGGCGAGGGCTGGGCAGGGAGGAAGCAAGAATGCTTTCCTTTTTTATTCCAACGGATAGGGAAATGGAAGGACGAAAATCTAACAAGGCTGTTTTCAAAGCCGCTTGGTTTGAGGCCTTTTACCAGCATTCCCCATCTGAGACTACTGGGCAGTCTGTTAAGCATTCAGTATAACTGAGTAAAAGCCAGCTGACCGTCCATGCCCACCTGCACCTATCCACCTGTCTCCTGTGCTCACTGTGAATGCTGTTGCTATGTAATGTGAGTTGGGGCTGCACAGAGTATTTAAGATGTTGTGAGAAAGATATTTTAACAGTAGAGTGCAGAAATCTCTGTAACTGAAACCTTTTGATCAACAAAAAGCATGATGACCACTAGACATTTCCAGGCATTAGAATCACTTACCCTCTCCAGTGAGATGCAAAACCAAAGTGGTGTAGAAAGGTACCAGATTATACTCACCTTATAGTTACACATTTGTTTTAAATACTTCCTTATAATTTTTTCTAGTACTCTCAGAGGACAGTGCAGCTGCTTGTATCCAGCCTTATGAAGAAGTACAGACATCTGATCTGCTAGATCAACAGGATAGTCTTGGAAAGTCTATAAAATGTCACCAGAGCCGGGAACTACCCAGTATTCCCCCTAATACCACCATGGAAACCATCATCTCAGCTAGAAATGCAGAAAATGATCAAGGTCTTGGAACGGAAGGGCCTTACGAAGTCTTGAAAGACAGCTCCTCTCAGGAGAACATAGTTGAAGACTGCTTGTATGAAACTGTGAAGGAAATTAAAGATGTTGGAGCAGTAGCCAGCATGGAAGGGAGCTGTAACAGCAAATCAAAGGTTCCACTGACAGGTTCTGAAGGTCAGAATCAGATTCCTGAGTGCAGAACTGAATCAGCAGAGTATGCATCTGTTGACCGAAATAAGAAAAGTCGTCAAAGTGCTAACTCAGAAAGCCCTCTTGACAACACACCAGATGTAGAAGATGAGCTTCCCCCACCAGTACCCATGAAGCTTCTCGATGAAAATGAGAATGTGCAAGAAAAAGAAGTGGAAGAAGTGACAGAAGGAGCAAGTAAACCAGAGAAGGTAAATACTGCAGATACTTGTCAAACAGACAAATAATGATAGAGAACATATGGGTGGGAGAGGATTTATTTTTCTTTAAGAGCAAAAAAATAACAAGGAAACAAAAACACTCAGGGTGATGCAAGACTGTAAAATACATAAATATGAAAATGCACAGTATAGTCTTTGCATTATAGGCATGCACTCATTCTGTTACTGTCCATATTTTGGATTGTTGCAGTATGCACTTCATTAAGGCTTTCTCCAAATATTAGGCAGAAATTGCACAGGAGGACTCTGCTTCTTTATTTAATGGTATTATACTTGTGGGAACTATTACAATGGGTATCCAGTATCTCTGTCAGCATCTATATCGTGTTCAGAATCCATCTCCCTCCTTGTTTTTTTTCTAATGAAACCTCAATTTACAGAGAGGGGAGGGGAGAATTCTTGGTAGATTCCCTAACTTGAGATGTGCCTCCTTTGTTGGGCTACCTTGACTTAGTTTGTGCAAGTGTTAAGCGTCTGCTCAAAGCCATTTCTCTCATCTCCCACTGTAGGAGAGAGGGGCAGCATGAGAGAGACTTTGCAACTGTAGGCTTTTATATTTGTCAAATTCTGTATGTCACATGTAAATAGAGTAATAAATTTCTACCTGCTGAATCTTGGCCAGAAGTTATGTTTTCTCAGCAGCTTTTTCTTCATTCCAGCCTATAAACTCATTGAAAAATAGAATGATGAAATTTTCAGCAATTTGTTTTCCCATATTTAGTTTTTAACCAGAATTAATTTAAAGGATGCTTTCAGATCGTTGGATAGATTTTTCCTAAACTGTTGATTTTGCATTTTTCAGAACTAGTTTAGGTCACTTCTTAGTAATTGTGAATGAAAGAACTGTGATTTTTAGCAGCTTAATGTGATTTTCGTGTCTGTGGCATCAAATAATAGGCACTGATGAAAACTGGAAAAAAAAATCTGTAAGATGCAATGTGAAATTCTAATGTAAACATTTACCTAAGAAAATCATAGCAGAGCTGAGGTGTTGTTACTTTTTCTGGTTGTTCTCTTATTTTAAGTATTTCAGTAATCCGGGCAGAGGGCAGGAAAACACCTTCATGTAACCTATGAAGCACAGTACAGTCAAAATGAATTAACTAAAGATTTTACTCCTAATATAAAAATTGTTTATCTCGACTCCTCAGTTCTTACATATAGTGAGCTCGCTAAGCAAGAAATTAAGATGTGATTGTCAACAATAACCCACCACCACACCCCCTCCCAAAATTAAGGCCATATGTAACTTCTAATTAAACTTTTAGAGAAACAGCTTTCTGTAACAGTGACATTTTTCCTACCAGGTGTGAAAAGACTTGCAGAAAATCATTGTATTTCCCAGGCACCAATACAAAGAAAAAGCATTTGCAACCCTGTAGCTCCCCAGCACACCGTGTATGCAGTGTCAGTAACTGCATGGAGTGGGAACTGATTAAAATGGTTCAGGTTTTGAAGGATTAATCAAGAGATGACACATGCAGTCCCCTAAGTGCCAGAAAAAAGGTGTTTGTCTAATTAAAATTTTCTCAGAGCTAAAGCCATCCTGAGTTAAAGCTTCGGCAGCATCAGATCATTCCCGCATTCACTGCTCGGTACATGCATTATGCATTGAAGCGTGTTCCTGTCCTGCCCTTGAGAGCTACAGCTGCAGCAGAGTTGGAAATGGTAATTGATGGAATATATAAATGTCATTATTGTTGGCATTGTGTGGAGAGGTGGTTGCGGGATTGTTTGTTGTTGTGGTGGTGATGATTTTTCCCTCTATTTTGCTGCTTCCAACAATGCAGAGAAATGCCTGTTCTTTCCACTGTGGCAACCAAAAGCAAGATATTTATGGAAATGTATGTTACATTGATAACTCTTTTAGTTAAACAGACTCCAGAGCTGTCTCTTTTTGCTTCCTCTCTTGCGAGTATACTTAGCCTCCCTGCTTAACATTATATCCATATCCCAAACTTTTTCAGCCTTTTGCTCTGACCCTGATGAATAGACAGGGTGGGTGTAAGTTGTGGGAGTCTTTCTCCCCACAATTAGGCTTTGCTTTAGTAGGGCACAAAGAATGGACAGGTGGGAAGCCTATTTATGTAACTGAGACTTGTACCTGCCAACAGAGAGAAAACAGACCATGTCCCAGCTGTTTCAGTCTCACCCTGTATGACATCAGCCAAGATGATCCCCAGCCCTTGCCAGTTCCTGAAGCACACTCATTTGGGAGACAGCTGGGTGTATCAGGCCAGAGACTGTTCCAGTATATAACAATTTGAAAAGGATAAATAATAATTTCCAGAGCCAAATGTGCAAAATGGGTGAAAAATGATCTAACTTGGTTATTGGCCGTGACCCAACCAAATCCCTTGGAAGGTTTTGGTGAAGCAAGACCCCCCTTTAACAGTTGCACAAGGCTCTTACAGGCTTCTATCACCTGGAGAAACTTGGACGTAGTTCTAATAAAACTAGAGAGGCAGAATAGTTTTTCTATAGTTCTTCCTTCTTTATCCAAGAAAGGAAGAATGATCTCCTTTTTCACCCAAGTCTTTCCAGAGTGAGCACTGGTAGAAATGCTCTCCATGTGTACATCTGGCTGCTGCCATCTGATTTCAGACTTGTGCAGCTTGAGGATGGGCAAAGCATCTCTTACAGATGCACCAGAGGAGAATGGTCTTCTTGTTCTAGTGCCGGAGTCTGGAGCAGCAGCTGAGCCAAAGAGCAAAAAATCAAATGCTGTCGAGGAACAAAAAGAAAGTGGAAGGCAAATAAGGACACATGCTTGTTTGTGTTGCTGTGCTGAAGCTTGAAGCATAATTTATAACATTGCTAGGTACAAAATGTTTAGGAGCAAGTTCATTTTTTTTCAGTTTCCAAAATGACAATATCCTTCAAAACTGATGTGTCACAGCTTTCACATTTAGAAGAAAGAACTCTGGGTCCCAAGGAAACAAGAACAGGACTGCCAGCACCCTGGGGTATTTGTCAGTACTCGAGTGGGAAACTGTAGAAGAGGTCCTGACCCGTGGTGCTTATCGACAAACTGATGAGAGAAAATAATTTCTGAAGAATTTTGCAAGCACATGTTTGTTCTAATGTGTGAGGATGAAATTAGTAACTTACTCCTGAACATAAAATACATCCTGCAAATAAAGACTAAACTGAGATGCTGTAGTGAAGCAGAAAAGACCAAAATCCACTTGAACTTCCCCTTTTCATCTTTCTTTTTCTGTTGTTGTGAGTAAACAAACCACAATTTAAAGAGTGCATTCTCCAGACAGTGATAAAAAAGCAAGGGAGTTGTCAGGTGGAAAGGAAGCCTCCTGGGGAGCAGCCTGCAGACTTGCGCTTTGGGTCAGGGTCTTCATCACAAGTGCCCCATGGATTTGAAGTTTGGTATTTACCAGGATTAAAAACAACAAGAAAAATGGAAGTAGGAAGGAATCTGTTGTAATGAGCCTCTGTGGGGGAAAAGAAGAAAAAAAGATCTTGTGTGTATAGAATGTGTCTGAAAGCGGTATTTAATTGACTGTGCTAAGAATGGCTCTGCTTCTCCACCTTGGTCTGCACTTGGAGGAATTCTCAAGTATTTTAAGTGGAGAATTTGTATGCAACTCTAAAATATGGCCCTTTAGAAACAGTGCTGGAAGGTTCCCTCTGAATCACTGTGGAGCAGGAGTCCAGCAAAGCCTTCTTGCCCCAGGGAGGAGGAATCACACGGCTGCTCTGACGAAGCAAGGGTTTTTGTTGCCATAAAGGCCATAAGACATTTTTCAAAAGAGCAAAATCCTTTTCCCCCAGTGTTACATGGCCTAATTTCTACATGGTGCTTTACATGTTTGAAGTTAGATTTGATACCAAACCAAACCCTTCACCCTTTAGGAACTTTGAAATGTGAACTGCATCCAGGCAGATGCTTTGAGGGTTGAGCCGCCCATCTCAGTGTGGGTTGTATCAGGCCTCTTCTGAGTTTGCAGTCTGAGCAGTTGTGAGGTGCAGCTCTCATGCACCTCTGCATGTCTGCTGTGCATCTTCCCTGTGAGGGCGGTGAGACAATGGAACAGGTTGCCTGGAGAAGCTGTGGCTGCCCCATCCCTGGCAGTGTTCAAGGCCAGGTTGAATGGGGCTTGGAGCAACCTGGTCTAGTGGAAGGTGTCTGTGCTTATGGCAGGGGGGTTGGAACTGGATGGTCTTTAAAGGTCCCTTCCAACCCAAACTGTTCTATCATTCTATGATCTGTGCACAGCTGCTGCATTTCCTGTGGGAAGAGGACACAGCACCTCCCTTACAGCACTTCCAGGAGCCACTGGTTGCATGGTAATAGTTATCAGGAAGATGTCAGGTTTGTTCTTTCATCATCTGAAAACATATCTGAAAATCACATGGAAGGCCAACTAGCGTGTCACAGCAGCTGACTTTTAATAGTTCAAAAGCCTTTGCAGACTCTTTTTGCTTTATTAGAAATGTAAAGGCAGGGATACAGTGGAGCAGAGTTTTAACCATTACATTATTTTTACCCTTTTCAGGTCAGAACAAGAGCGGATACATTAAAAAGCTCTAGTATCCTCAGGGCTGTTATCTCCAGAGATGTACTCTGGATATTAGGGATATTCACTATATAAAATGGAACAAGTGAGCAAATGACTATAAAATATAATGTATTGATTGTAATAGGAAGACATTATTATAGGTTTCACACTGTTGACTGGAAATGAGCTTTTTCTTCTTTCTTTCTTCCTTTTTTACAGAGGCATAGTTCAATGTCTTACAAGTCTCGTGAGGAAGATCCATCTCTTACAGAAGATGAGGTATGTTTCTTGCACAAAATTCAATAACCAACTAGAGACCTTTTTGCAGGCAGAAATTAGCATAAGATATGCATGATTAAGCAGGATCTAAGAAAAGTGAAATTTGTCTGAAGGGAAAATGAAAGCTAAATTTTCTCCGCGCAGTTTGTACTGCCACATTCCTGAAATCAGAACTGTTCTAGCATATGGCTATATCAGGCCAATGATTTAAAAAATGGTGTCATAAAATAACAGGAGGCCACATTTAGCTGATGATCGGTCAGGTGATTTTTGATTTGGATTCCAAGCTTTATTTAAGGATAATAATCAGTAGCCTTTTGAAACATGCTCCACCTTCCCCACACAAAGTGTTTGGGGCTCTGGGAAATAAACAGAAGCGCAATAAAAGCACTGGAACATAAACTGTTATTAAAATGAATTGAGGAGATTGAAACAAAGACAGAAAAGTGAAACAGAAATGAGGTTGCTTGTGATCATCTCCATTAGACCCATGCAATTTCTAAAAACGTTTCTGGGCATAAAAGTGAACACAAACCTGGCAATGAGCTGAGCAAGCTAATGCTTTCTGCTGGGTGAAGTGTTCCGGGGCGTTAATGAATGAATTGATCCTTGAACTGGGTTGCTGGAGAGGGTTAAGTAAGGATGGGCAGAAAAGCCTTTTTTTGGATTGGTTGGCTAAAAGCAGTAAAAAGTAAGAAATATTGCCATCTGCAATTGGATATCTCTATTAGAAAAACAAACATACAGAATTCACAGAAGTGATGGGGTTCGTCTGCATCTGTCCGTGGTGCTTAATGGCAGTGGATGTTTTCATGCCAATACACTATTTTAATTGCATTGATACCTAATCCAGAGTGGCCTTGCATGCTTGGGAAAGACTTTAAATGTAAGAGAAGAGCTATGTTGCTATTGCAATATTAGGTAGCAGAGAAGCAGCAAAGGGAATTTTATCCATCTGCCCTGTGCAAGCGCTGGTATCCACTTGGACTGGGAGAGGGAGTCAAGAGTGGCTCCCTGCACTCAGCGCCAACCCTGGTGAGCCCTGAACAGAGGGACCTGTGTGGACATGGGCTTCTCCTTCAGCCTTTTATTAAGGGCCACCTCAGTGCACTTGTTTAAGCATGCCACCTCCTCAAAGACTCCAGCTCCCTCTCTTGTGTTTATAGTAGCTGAAAGGTTTCAGTCTCTAGTTTTAAGTGCCGATACACAGTGACTGAAATGCAGCTCTTCTCTGTAGGCAGTTTAGTCAATGGAACAGACTTTGTGTTTCAAGATCAGCACTGACTATTTGCTGTTTTCTGGTGTGGGTAATTTATCTCCTGATTTTTAATATTTTCTTCACATGACTCGGTGCCTCTTTGGTCCTGCCTATGAACACAACAAATAACTACTCTCCTGTTGGGATCTCTAAATGTAGCCAACTACCACTGGAATTATTAATAATTTTTAAACCCCCAAGGATGAGACGGCATCCTTTTCCTACGTTACAACAGCTAAACCTGCTCATCCCTTTGGCAGCTGGCTCCAGGACCATAGCAAAAGTTGTAAGAGCTCCTGCTGATAAAGCTATTCCCTTTTGTCCGATGTTTAATGTGCCTGCATGGGATTTATGTTCAACCAATTTTACATTTATAAATATTCTTTCTTTTTTGAAAGAAAATCAGTTTATAAAACACATGCCAGAAATGAAAGGGTTTGTAAGGAATTTTTTTTTAGATGTTTTATTAGAAGATCCTGGCTTTTCTTAAGTAACTGACATAATTGTGGTGGAAGGGGTACAAACTGGCACACAAGCTTTATGCCATGCTTAAACACTTAGCACATGTCTGCTTTTCCTAGATCTCAGCCATGTACTCATCAGTGAGTAAGCCGGGACAGGCCCTCAAAGCACTGGATTCTCCTTACACCTGTATTCAAGAAATTGCATCTCAGAGGTCCCCGTCCATTTGCAGTGGCCTCTATGCAAGTGTGAAGGACTTTGAGAACACCCTAAATACTACCACTGTGCCTCAGTCAGCGGACAGACCAAATGGGGAGCTGGAGCCTGACTATGAAGCAATCCAGTCAGTGAGCCAAGAAGAAGACAGGACCTTGTCTGTGCCTAACACAAACCACTCTGCTCTTTCAGGAGAAAACGACTATGAGAGCATAGGGGACTTGCAGCACCACAGGGATTTCACCAGGCTTTAACTACTCTGGCGGGCTAATTTCACCTCTGGTATTTTCAAAGGAACATGTGAAACACGGGGAGAGAAGTTTTTCTCCCTTTGAGGAACAAAGCAAAGTAGGGAACAAAAGTTGTGAAGAAACAATGTATGTTTCAGCCAGGGTGCGATACCCACTAGGTTATTCTGGGTGGTGGATGGAGGCTCACAGGAAAGGGTACGTCAGGTCAGAATGATGACCAGGACAGCATAAAAGCTTCTTTATTTTTAGCTCCAAGAAAACCAGAATTTGGGAAGGAGTGCTATGCTTGTCGTCCTGATAGGATTACATACCAAAAAAGACTGCTTTACACAAAGCTAGCTTTTAATTTTATGTCATTTTCTTCAAAGTGTTTTTCAAGCATAATTTTCATTCAAGTTCGGGCACACAACATTGAGCAAATCATGGATCGTTGTACCTCAACTCAGACTTACTTTGCAGGGCTGGGGAAGGCGTGCTCACTTCCGTGTCTTTTCGGGAGCTCTATTCACATTCATTGCAACTAAACTACAAACAGCAGTACTTCACAAGGGACCTACTCCAAATGTACTTGAATTAATTCTGTCAGCTTTTTTTATATGCCAAGGGCTGCAGAATGTGACTTGCAATATTCGAGATGTGTACTGGTGGTTTTGGGTGGGGTTTTGTTTGATTATTTGTGAAATACCACTTTAAAATGGCAAGTGACACTCTTAATATTCTTGCTGTGTTCCCCTCACATGCACACATATACCTACATAAACATGCAGCAGACAATTGTCATGTTGCAAAAACTTGTGCAAATGAATGCATTGGTATAATGTTTAGTCTAACCTTAACAGTGTTGAGTCATTTTTTTAATAGCTTTGCCCTTTTTTAAGACTTGAAATATTTTAATTTGTTTGTCTAGTTTATCATGTAGGAAAATCTACATATTGTGTTCAGAGTGGATTATATTTTTTATTTTTACAACATGGTTTTCATCTTCAAAATTTTTGTAGATTAACTTACCGTGTTACATAACAGGAAGAATCCCATTCTTTTGGCTTCATTTGTTTTTTTTCCTTTAATTTCTATTTTCTTATTTCAGAAGTATGTAAATGAACAACTGCCTTTGTTGTTGTCTTCAGCAAGGATGTGGAACATGTTTTGCTGGTTTTAAGCTTAAAATAGTGGAGTCTATGATCTGCCAGATGGCAAAAGAGAGGCAGAAGAGACAGTGGGATTTAGTCTGGGGCAGCCAGTGGTCCTCCTTGTTCCTTTGCTAAAAGGAGCAGGAGGGCAACCAAGAACTCTTTGGGGCTCTGACAAGCAGTTTGAAAGCCACTGGCTTTGCAAGGATACCGAGTTATTCTGTTACTGTTAAAAGCAAAGTACAGATCTTGGATGAAATAAGTAGGTGCTGGGTTCATAATTTTGTTTTCTTCAAGAACAGTACAATGACATGTCACTGGGACAACTTGTTAACCATGAGCTAGCAATGTGCCATTGTGGCCAAGAAGGCCAATGGTATCCTGTGGTGCATTAAGAGGAGTGTGGCCCGCAGGTCAACGGAGGTAATCCTGCCCCTCTACTCAGCCCTGGTGTATTGTGCCCTGTTCTGGGCTACCCAGTTCAAGAAAGACAAAGGAGAGGGTCCAGCAGAGGGCCACAAAGATGATCAGGGGTCTGGAGCGTCTTCCCTATGAAGAAAGTCGGAGAGACCTGGGCCTGTTCAGCCTAGAGAAGAGACAAAGATCCCTGAGAAGGGATCTTACCAATGCACACAAATGCCTAAAGGATGGATATCAAGAGGATGGGGCCAGACTCTTTTCAGTAATGCCCAGCAACAGGATAATGGGCAAAGGGCACAAACCGAAACACAGGAAGTTCTTTCTGAATATGGGAAAAAACTTCTTTACTGTGAGGGCTTCATAGCAATGGAACAGGCTGCCCAGACAGGTTGTGCGGTCTCCTTCTCTGGAGATACTTAAAACCTGCCTGGGCACAATCCTGTGCAGCTTGCTCTAGGTTTACCTGCTCTGGCAGGGGGGTTGGACCAGGTGATCTCCAGAGGTCCCTTCCAAACCCAACCATTGATCTGTTCTGTGAATGAACAGTACAATAGTACAAGAATAGCCCAACAGTAGTGAACTGGTTATGTGTACACATCTTCATATATCCCCATGTAAATAAGCATACACATGTAATTTGGACACAAGTATAAATTATAGTCCAGACTTGGTAACATTCAAATACATTCACGTACGTAATATCTGGCATGTGCTTGAAGAGTAGTTTATTTTTTATTTGAAATAAACAGTATATAAACTGAGGTTGGCTTATTCCATAGTAGACAAAAGAGGTTTCATTTCAGCTCACTTGGTACTGGGTTTGGATATACCAGATTGAGTCCTTCTCAGGTCACTAGCCAGCATTCAGTATCACTTGGTACTATTGAGAGCAAACACAGATCTGGTTACGCACATTTATTAGAAATAACTTTATAACTGAAGGCAGTGTACTGATTTATGGGCTTTGCCTGTAAGTACTACGGCTCTGAGAAGCAGTGCAAGTATGCATTCAAACACGGGGTGATTGAAACTGCATGGATCCTGACCTCGTGCAAGGGTGCAGCATGCTTGATCTATGACTCTCTTCCTTTGAGGAGAAGCAGTTCAGACAAGTCTACATCCATCTTGCTCATGACCATGCTGCCATGCTTCCACAGCTGCAGCAAATCATTGCCTCCACTTCATTACAGTGCTTTTGAAAGCTGACTTTGGTCTTCCTTTCTGGAGTTTTTTCCTAAAAAAAATGTTTCTATTTCTGTTCCCTTGAATGTGAATTCATGAAGTTCGCCTCTGACTGTTCTTCTACTTCAGACTGTTTAAGGCCAAAGATAAGATACACCATGTTTCACAAGATCTGTTGTGCTAAGTCTGGAGAATTTATGAAGTCCTTAACTATGTTTTTGCTGTCTGTTCCTTGCTCAGGGGTACGGGTTTATATATGTAGTCCTCAGTCTGACTCCTGCAACATAGTGGCAGGCATACCTCAACTCCTGAAATTCCCAAATACATCTCAAGATGTAACTATCCCTCAAGTTATACCTTAAGAATTGTGTAACTTGTTACATAGATGACTGCTTTTGGAGAAACAGTAGCAACATGAGGTTTGTCAGGATCACCAGCTTAAGACCAGTTAAAGAGAAGAGATAATGCGAGTTAACAGCAAAGAGTAACGCTGAACTCTTGATTGTAAAATTTTAAGGTGTAAAAGAAGAAAATCAAACATCACTCCAGAAGTGCCCTCATCACGAAGCAAGTCAAAGAAAGGAAGAGGGCTGCCCAGGCATTCTTTGTGTCTTTTAGAGTAGGATCCAAGAGTGTCGGTTTGGAGGAAGGGACATGAGACTCAACTTGTGCCTTCCTTCCTTTCCCCTGTTCCAAGGGCTGCTTCTTGAGATCCCCTGATTACCCTTTTTCAGTGAAACCCCTCCCCTTATCTTTTTGCTTGTTTCTATTTTTAACCTGTCTCGTGCAGCCTTGCACTGAGAGCTGGTTCTGTCTCTGCAGTCCTGTGATGCTGGCATGTTCCTTCCCATGTCAATGACAGGCTGGTCACAGCCTCTTCATCATCCACCAGACCCTCAGCCTGGTAGGGAAGGAGCTCAGATTTTTGGATTGCTGCTTGAGGAATGTGTACCTGCCCTCAGCCACTGAGACCCCACATACATCGAACTCCTGAGAGCTGTGGAAATAAATTAATCTCCTGAACAGGGACGGGTGGGGGAGTCTGTAACTCCCCTACACTATCCATTAGATAGTCTAATGCTAAAAAAAAATGGTTTAGAATTCAGTCCAAGGTTCTTACGTGAATAATTACATCTCTCGACTAAGATTCAAGCTTATGGTTTAGTTCCCTCTTCCCAGAAGTAAGATCTGTTCTTGTACAGCTGTTGCCAATGCTTCCTTTTCACTAATATATTGGATAGAAAGATTTTGTGACAGTAATCCCCAAATAGATGAATCTGACTGTAAAGAAAAGGGAGTCTCTTCTGCTTGTCTCTTCATTGCTATTGTTTCCTCTTTCACTATATCCCTGAATAAAATGTCAGGATCCAAAATAAAGTATTTATTATGTGGTGATCTTTCCTGGGGAAGCTTCAGAGTCTTATTTCTTTGCCTCCATTTTTAAGCACAACTGTATATGAAGATCTGACATCAAATTCCACAGTAAAGCCCAGACAAGCCGTAAGCTGTAACGTGCATAACTCTACTAATGAAAAGGTCTTTTCTGATTTCCTCCTGGAAACCAGTAGAAATAGGAATGCAGCTTGGACATCTCTTCCGTGAATCTGTGTCTCCTGTGGGAGTTGTTCTCACCGCATATCTAAACCACATACCTACACCAGTGCTAACCCCATTCATAAATCAGTCCCCCTTTCCTACCATGATGAGTGCAGAATTGCTTTCTCAGTCACAGAGAGAAATAGATTCTTTACAGATACCTGTAGCATAGGTATGTACCTAATTACCACAGTTCGATCAGTTATAGTGCCTTTTTCACTAAGCAGCTAGTACTCCCATACACCTTTCCACACTGTGCTTGTTAAATTCAAAGGGACAACCCCAATTTTTACTTGTTTAAGTTGGAAACTGCTTTATAGAGACACAGTAAAGGTATTGGACCTCGATTTGGCCTTACAGTAGCAATAGTCTCTTGCAAACATCCTCCAAAAAGCCAAGTAATGTAGCTATGATGTCTAAGCTTTGCAATAAGAATTATTTTGAAGAATTTTGAAGAACCTAATTTTTTGAATAGTGAGCATTCAGGGAGGTGGTGGTCTTTGTTCATGTCAGCTGTGAACAATTAGTTGCTTCAGTCTTTCTGTTAATATCAATTGCAGGCTTGCTTATATGTAGCAGGATTCATGGGGTGAGGGATGAGTAGGTGTGGGGATTCATATTCATGAGTCACCCAGAGCTGGACCATTCCCACAGCAGCACCTGGCTGAGGACCAGCTGCCTTGTTCTCTAAGCCCTTGTCTATTGTGCCTTCAGGGAATCCATCCTGCAGGGATTCTTCTGGGCCGCGTGCTTCTCCATGGCTCCCTGAACAGCTCCTGTCCACTGTCTTGACCACAGTTCTGCTCAATGCTGATCACAGTGCTCTCTGTTCAACCTTTCAATGGTGCTTTTATAAGATTCTGGGTAAATGGGTTCAGTGTGCTTTCTGGAAGCTGACGTGTAAAGCTGTGACACGAAGTGCTCCCTAGTATTGTCTGCTTCCCAGAACTTTGTGTTAACTGTGTTATTCTGACTACAAAAGGCTGGCAGCGCTGTCCTTTCTCTTACCCCACACACATCCAGAATGTAGTCACCAACGTAACAAGCCTAGGTTGGGCCACAGGTGTTTGAAAGCAGCCAATTCAGGCCAAATGGCTTGGCTTGAAAGCAGTGAGAGACATGCCTCTCATCTGTGCAGCGTGGGATTGGAAGCGTCATAGAGCCCAGCTCAAGGACTTTTTGCTGTCTCCTATTGTTCATATATATTTGTTTGCAATATGGCTGTAAGAAATCCGTTTCTGCAGCAAACATTTCCATTTGGGCCACACTCCAATGTGGAGACTTGCTGTTAGGCAAATTACCAGTTATTTCAGACAAGTGTTATTTATTTAGGTTGGAACATGCCTGAATAAGGCTGCTATGTCCCTCACAAGTAACTCAATGTGTGTAGTCTATTGCAAAAAAGGAGACTGCAGAGAGATGCTCAGCCAGACAGGTGCTCCTGTGGTGATGTGCTGAAGACTTTCAAAGGCAGGTTTCTTCCTGGGAGCAGGGAGCATCATTGCTATTAATGTGATGTCATACCCTGGTGCTGGAGTTGATTTGTAGCATCTCTTTTGAGCAGATCTCAGCCCCCCCCCCTCCCCCCCCCCAAAAAAAAAAAAAAAAGTATTTTAAATGGTTTGCTAGCAACATATGTTGGGGGTTATGCTAAAGATAAATGCTATGGATGGAACATCACAGAGGTAAAAGCACAGGGTTCCCTTTCTTGAAGGAGAGAGAACCCGTATTGGTTGAGTCAGTATGAAAGATCCCAGGGTTACAAAAAGTATTAAGTAACAGAAGTATTAAATTAATCGCATGTGTGGTAATTTTCCAGGATTGCAGTAGGGTATCATATACACTAGACACTGTTCTTTCCCTGTGGACAGCAGGAAGAGCAAAGCTTATTTGTAATACAAGGTTCCTATTGATTAATTGATAACATTTACTTTAGATGTAAGCCAAAGGTCAGCAAGAGTGTCTACACAGTGTAGATATATATATTTAAGCTAACTGTAAAAGATCCAGCTCAGGTGTTGTAAGCAGAATCACTAGAACAATTTAATGCCCTGCTTGGTCTGACCCTCTCGCAATAGCTCATTCCAGCACCCCGATTTGTATTATGTACCCATTGGCCTGTGCCCACTCTAAAAATAATATTAAACTTTGGTTCTGTTTTCTCAAGCTGTGAGGTTTTGTTTCTGGAGGTGTTTGGTTTCAAACTGCCCGGGACAGTCACTACAAACATAATAGCAAAGTGCCTAAAAATAAAGATGTTTCTGTTAAAATGCTCACTGTTACTGCACAGCATGTTGTCTACTGTATGTGGTACTCTCTTACCATACGCATTCCTAAATACTGGTTTTCATTTGATATGTTCACTTATGGTTACATTAGCATAGTCTGACAAGGTTTTTGTCTCTCCAAATTAATTGTCTAATTTTAACGAGCATATATTTGTTACAGAAAATATAAAATGGGATTCTTTTTTCAGTTTAGGGGCAGCTGTTATTTCTTACAGTTTAGGATAATGCAACAATCTGCTTAGATGATTTACAAAGTATGTAAGTATCGCTTGACTTGAGAACGATTCATTTGAATTTCAGGATGCATCCCATTTGCTACCAGACAACGTTACCAGCTCTTGTCATTTTAATCTTATAATACTGGGAAGGGGATTTTAATCCTCACAAATCTTACTACTTAAAAAAAAAAAAATACTGTGCTGATGTTTTCACTTCCTAATGTCTACAGAGACTCACATTTTAACTTTCAGCATCAGTTACATTTGGACTACCTCTTATTTATGAACTCCCCTCCTCATCAGCCATCACCATCAAAGCATCTCTTTTGTCTTTGATGAAATACGGCAGCTGTCCAGAGAGGACAGAAACTGTGTCACATCGCACTTCTGAGTGGGACCTTTTTAATGTGCCTGTGAGATTTAGGAGCCTGGACTTAAGTCAGATGTTTTGTGGAAACTGCCTCCTGTGTTGCAGAC